CCTGTAATTCTCTGTGAACTCACCTCCTTGGTTTACCCTGTCAACCCCTCTATTCCAGCCTTGCTTGCCCCAAGCATGCGTGCTTCCTCCTGTCTTCACACTACTATGACCTTGACCTCAACCTTGCATCTTCTGGGCTTGCTCTTTTCTTTCCTTTAGGTCTCTGATCAAATGTGGCCTATCTGATGAGGCTTTTGCTGACATTTCTATATACAATTGTTGCCCATCCCTGACACTTTTTAGCACCTTTTCCTGAGCCTGTTTTATTTTTCTTCATAGCAGTTATCATAATATGTTCACATAAATTCATCTACCAACACATAGAGACATAAGTTTATTATATGTACCTTCCCACAGAATGTAAGCTGTTGGAGAACAATGATTTTATCTGTTTTGATTGCATCTTAAATATCAAAGCTTAGAATAAAAAAAAACAGAAATAGTATAGAAGATTCATAAATACGTCTTTTTGTAAAAATGAATAAATGAATGAATTGTTTCTATTCTCATTGAGTCAGAGTTTAGGAGGGAAGATGGACATCATAATTCCATAAACTTCCTCACGAACAATTTAACATTTGCAATTCAGTTGCTTTAAATTAGTCTTACAAAAATTACAAAACTTAAGTATCTGTTAAGGCTATATTTAATAAAATATCTTAAATGTAAACAAGAGAATGTCCTGAGACACTCTGTAGAAGCAATATGCACGTTCACATCCAGTGTACATATAGCAAATACGTACATATGACTTAAAACGTATGATCTCTGTTATTTATTAAAACTTATCACCTCTAGCTCAAAACTCAGTGAAATTTGTGTGCTACTAATTTGAAGGATCTCCAGCTCCTTCAAATTCTGCTCTAAAAGTTTGAGTTCCCTTATATGTGTTATTCCCTTGTGTTTTTTTCCTCCCCAGGATTCATGGGCTTCTGCCTGAATCCTGGATTAAGATACAAAATGTAAGAAGTAAAAATGGGGGAGTTGATAATTGGCCCAGCAGCAGCCCACACTTAATTACGATTATGAGTCACATCTTACCATAGACAAAGTTGTCCTTTGCAGAACTCTAGGCATCCACACTGTCACAGGCAAGGTAAAATAGGGGGAAAGGAAATGGGCAAATACCTTAAAATAGTTAAGAGGATTGCCAACCCTGCAACTTAGCCTTAAAGAAATTCTCCAGCTGCACCAAAAATGAGGTGTTTCTCTTTGGTTTTCAAAGCATAGAGTTAGATCAACTGCTGAGAGTGAACACGGGAATTACAGTGTGAAGTTTGGGATATGTATTCTGTGCTACTCGGAGAGTCTGTTAGAAGTGTGAAATCACAAAATTAAAGCAAAACCAATCTTCTAGGCTGTGTGATTTTTCTCCAGTCTTGTTCACAAGTTTGGTAGTACAAGCACACAGGTTTATTTTATCTAGGATTGGGATTTTGTGAAGAAGGAAGAAAAGGGCAAGTGGGTTGAAGTAGGCCATATTAGAATGATTTGAATGATGAGACCTGGGATTCAAGCAGAACAAGGAGACAAGTAAGGGCAGACATGAGGGTCAGCAGTATTTTTGGGTAGGTCACAGAGCTGCTGCGGCAAGAGTCCTTGAGCAAAGCAACCTGAAAGGATAATTACGGCGACATATCCCTGGCACAGGTCTGCTTTTGAAAACGCTATCCTTTTAGGTAGTTATGACCATCAAAATACTATTGTACTCAATATAAAAGAAGGAAAGTGCCCGGTTCCCATTAGCAGCAAAGCAGTCCTAGAGCCTTGCTTTTCTCTGAACCGGCTGTTGGTGTCTTAATCGGCTTGCTTCTACTGCTAGTTGGAATCCTGGAGAGCTAATAATCCAAAGTCTCTCCCCTCAACACTTAATGCTGGCATGACCTCACCTCCAACAACACCCCAGCTCCTTTTACCCAAAATCTTAGCTCAGGAGAGTGTTGGGAAAAAGACTTCCAATGATTAAGCACCAACTACATGCTGGATTTTATGTCGGAATACACACAGACATGTATCTACACACACAACACAGTAACTTACACGTAACAGATATTAAAGACTTTGTTGACAACAAAATGAATGGATGCTATTTTATATGCCAACAGGTAGAGATTTTCATTTGTTGTTTGCTCACCAGAGCATGCATTGAACTCAAAATTAGTGACTACTTTTCTTTCCAGAAACTCTTTGAAGAAATATAGTAGTTGCTATCACTTTTGGTGTTCAGTTTAAAAAAATTAAATTAGAAATACATTTTAAACCTCTGCAGGTTAAAATGAATAACAAAAAGCATTCTAATCAAAAGCCCCATGATAAAATATTTAAGCTCACGACTGGCTTCGCTCAAGCTTAGAAATAAAATAACCTAATGGAAGAGGTGGTACCGTATAATCCCCTTCCTGGGATTCATTGCGTCTTGCCTCTCAGAGAGGACAGCTGGTAGAGAGAAAATGGAAGTATTTCAACAGCAGATTTGTCATCTCATAAGCCAGCATTATTTACTTTAAACCTTGCACTAAGAACACAACCACAGAGAATTGTCAATGAATAGTTCATTGGTATGCAAAGGAGATTGTCAACAATTTGCTAATATTTAAATGGAAGATTATCCTGAAAATAATTATAGGGACAGACTCTTCAAAGAATATTTTATTGGCAGGTTTAAAAATTAGCATTCAGTAATGAGATTTGCTTGTAGACTGGGGGAGAAAATATTAATTGAAAGAAAACAAGAGTGATTAGTGTGTTTGGGGCCTAGAGAAGGGCTGGAGAAATTTGAACATTTTTATAAAGGATGAGAGCAAATGCATTACATACACTTGCTACTCTTTGCTAAAATTAAATAAACTAATATTTTTAAAAAAAAAGATAACCTAAGCTGTGGCTGTCTTTTGGGGCAAAGCTAAAGAAACAGAGTCCTAGTTTCTGTATAAACTCAGTTCTCATTGTGGCCAAAGTGTATATTCTTGTATCTGCATCACTGGTTTCCTGAGTGTGTCCCATGCAACACCCATATCAAGAGACAGGATGATGGACCATGTTGAAGACCCCGTACGTTTTAACCTTCATTTGAATATTTATATAATGCATCTAAAAGGCTCTGAGATTTCCTGTAGTAAACACATCTGATGACTTTTATTTTAACACACACACCTGCAAAGAAAACACTCAATTCTTTTCTTCACTCTCACACTGCTCTGCCACACTCACACTTCTGACACCAGGCAGGTGGGTTTATTCCCCACACCAAGCAGTTCTCTGCAACACCAGCTGGCTGTCCCACAATTCATTTCAATTCTGACACTAATCCAGGAGCCCACCAAGAGTCACCTCATTATAACAAAAGACAGTAACATTGCCCAGAAAATTCCAACGGTTTTAGGACCCCTGTGCCAGGAACCAGGAGCAGAGACAAATATATATATGTTCCTATTATTGCACAATATGGTTCCCATCTTATTTGACAATGCATTTATGCATCTATCCATCCATTCATTCATTTATTCACTGTATAAAACCTTTTAAATTGTGAAAACAGTGCTCCCTGTAACATACCACAGATAAGAATGGACTGGAACATGCTGGGATTTTCCCTTGAGACATTTTGTTATAACTTCCAGGCCACATCATACCATTTAACCTTCCATCTTATGGACCTGTGGAAAAGTAAAGTAAGAGAGAGCAAACGTGGCTGGTGAATCTCAGCAAACCTTATTAGTCACTTGAACCGCCATGTGCCGTTAGAGTAATGTCTTACTTCTGATCGGATGCAGTTATTTTCACAAGCATTTTAAGATCCTAAATTAGAATAGTTTTCAAACCTTCCTACTCATCACATCTCCCTCCTAATGTGGCCTCTTCACCTTGCCCATCCATACCCATGTAATGGGATAGAGGGTATTAGGGTGTTGGGGGAAGCAGCCCCTACCTGGGAGGAAGCTGACTGAGGCAGCCTTTGACCTAGGAGGTCTCACTCTGTCCTTGGATAAACCAGACAAGCCTTGTTGAGTTCTTATGTTGTTCTCTGATTAATTTCAGTTTTGTTGGGGGGAGTCTAGATTTTGCCTTACTCTAGAGGGAAACAATGCGTGAAGCTACTCTTCACTGTCAACAGCCACATTGGCTGTAGGTGGGTCTACATCCGGAGACCTGTTCGTTGAACAGAGATGTTCTTAGTGTGCTGTGAAGAAAAGGAAAGAAAGAAAGAAAGGAAGGTGGCCAGAATTGGGACTTAGGACTTGGCACATGTTATCTTACCTACAGCTCGGTTCACAGTGAGATAACAGAAGGTCCTATAATGAGGATGATGCTTTGCAAATGGGAAACCGATCCACTTTCATTTACTCCCGAGGCGCGCTCCTAGCAGTGATCCACCTCCTGGGCAATCCTGAGGCCCCTATGGCTTTGTGAAACGCGTGTGTGTATTTTAGGGTGAGAGAAGGATGACAGCAGTGGAAGGGCCTAGAGAGGGGAGAGGGAAAGGGATACTGGAGACGATGATGAAAGCACCAGGGCTGAGGGCACTTTAGGGCACTCTGGAAGGAGGTGTCTAACAGATCACCCCCACTTGCACCTGGGCAGCCACGTCCCATGAACTGGACAGCAAGGCTTGGTTAGGCAGAGGGAGGGCCTCTTTTGCCTTCTCAGCGCGAGCCCTTGTTCCTCACTACCAGAGTGTGCCAGCTACCCTGGTTTCTCTCCTGCAGTGTGGAAACTGCTGTAAGCTAGAAGAAAATGCTGAGAGGACCAGATACTGCAGATGTTGCCAAGGATTTGGAGCCAAGCTCCTTCTCACGTGGTCATCATATTTAGGGGTGAAGGGTTTTTTCTCACCCAACTGTTACGGATGTTTTCCTTCCTAGCGTTTTCAAGCTGCATGATCACACCAGAAGTGACCTCACCAACAGGCCTCAGCAGTAAACACCAGCAGAACATCTGAAAAGGACACACTTCACTGTCCTTCAGTTCACTGGGTAGCCCACAAACAGAAGCTCCCTGGAAGCAAAGACCTGGGAGAATGCAGGATGCTTCCGGTATCACAGAACCACAGCTCTCTTCTCCATCAACACAAGATCAGGTAACTCACACCTTCTCTCATGCCTCATTGGGGGATGGAGGGCTGGCAGGCAAAGCTCTGAATGACAGTGCATCTAAACGGATACTATTACCTAAAAGACGTTCCTACTCTCAGTATCTCCACCGCACCAACAGAAAATCTGATGTGTTAGGGTAGAATCCCACTCAACACTGCCTCAGACCTGGGGACCCAGTTTATTACAAAGGAGAGGCAACAATGAACACGATTATCACGTACTTCAAATCAATGGCAAGTGACCAGCTGAAATACAGGACATTAGAACGTTGGGCTGGTGTGTTCCAGGATGCTGTATATGCACACCAACGGCATCTATTTTAGGCAGTGCCCCAAGAGTTAGCACACACGCGTCTGTGTTCCAAGCGGTCACAGTAAATTGGCCCTTCTCAAAAAACAAACACCAATATCTCATTTCTGGAGCTTGTGCTTCCCAACCTTGAAACCTTAGGCTTAGCTGACAGAGGTCTTAGTTTTTAATAAGAGACAGCCCCTACTAGGCTCCAGGGTAAGAGAACCACTGAACTGAAAGCTACAGGCCACACCCTGTCATTTAGGGTATGTGAAAGACACAGCAGACAAAGCTGGTGTTACTTTATTGGTGGTGGTCACCGACCCTGATGACTTTGATTCTCTAGGGTCATTGCTTAACCAGTGTGTCTGTAACCCAGGAAAGCCACTGGAGTAGCTCTCATTCTGTTATATCCAAGGACAAATAAAACTGAGTAATTACAGCCACCATGGCTCCCCTTGAGATGACAATGACAGCCTCAGAGAATCATGCTCAGATCAGCCCACTAAATATACTTCCTAGACAGCCAAAGTGCTGGATGAGGACATTTGGAACGGTTGATGGAGGAGGAGATGTTGAGAAACAATTGCAAGTTTGGGGATAGAGGTAGAAAGGGGGTAGTTTGCTCCACTTCACCTAAATTAAATCTTATTTGGAGGTTGAGGATGACCATGACCTTGAAGCTGACCTTTGGGGCTAAAGAGGTACAGTGAATCTGAGGCTGTGGAAGGGAAGGTCATAGGGCATGATCCCTGCCTCACACCTTCCCAGGTAAAATTTTAGGGCTTTGGTGACCCCCTGGTTTCTGTTTTATTCTCCCTTTTCCAGCAGTATCCTGGTCTGGACTGAGAAGATTAAAGAGGCTGGTTGTCTTGAATTAGTTGAATTAGTTGTCCTGACTTAGTTGAATTCACACTGATGGGCCGTCAGAGTCCAAGGCCTCTCCTTTGCTTGTCTTTTTGCAGGGGAGACAAAGCAGCCCCAGTCAGGACGCAAGTTCGACGTTTTGTTTCAGAAAATTGAAAATAAGGCGGAGGATTCTAATGAGTGGCTGGAGTCTAGATACTCAAAAGTCTGAGCCCCAAAACCAAATTCAGGGCACAGAAATGACATTCTGGTAAATGGCATTGATTCCAGAGGTCAGATCTGTGCAAAAATGTAATCTAAATGGAAATAGGCCAAGTCAAGAAAAGTACAGAGGCCAAAAAATTAAAATGAACATCAGAATATATTATTTATATTATATATATATATATATTATAACAGAAAACCTCAAAATCTCAGTGACCTACAACAATGCATGTTTTTTTCCCTTGTTTGGCAGGGACTAGTCTGATCTCATCTGAGTCCCATGAACTTGTCTATAGGCTACAGGTAAGACCTGGTTTTATTCCACACGTCTCTTTCTGAAGTCCAACCTGCAGAGGCAGTGACCACGTGAAGTTTGTCCTTTGGGGGGGATCATAGCAACATAAGAGGACCCAAGAAACCATACAAATGTTTATAGTCTCTACCCATGTCATGTTCCTTCACATTCCATTGCCCAAAGCAAGTCATGGCCAAGCTCAAAGTCAGTGGGACAGGGATATATATTCCACCCCAATTGGTGAGAGAGAGAAGTATTTGCTGAGTAATAATCTAACCTATCACTGCTTGGCAAATGGTGGCTTTCTTGACCAATCCTTAAGAAAAGATGGGCACATGGTATTTGTGTTTGTGCAATTGACTTAAAAAACTATTGCCCATGCTAGATCCATCCTCAGATCTGGAGATCCAGCAACTCAACTTGGTCACTTCAACAAAAATGAATCAAACTTTCTGTGACTCAGCTCAACCGAGACCAATATACACATCAGGATGCCAGTTTATTAACTTATTAGGAATTGACTATTTTTGCTAAGTAACCTGGACATTTGTTTTGATTGATCAGAACCTTTTCTTCTTAAAAGCAAATCTATTAGGGTGTCATTTTAATAACAGCTTCTGGCTTGGCAAGTGTGTGAATTCAGAGTAGAATTCAGTGGGATGGTGCCTCACCACTCATGACCTTCACCTATAGATCCCCGATATAGAGAGAAGCTGCCCCTGGCTAAACAGGCTTGTGGGGTGTTCCCTGTCTCAGCCTCAGAATACACAGCACCAACTGGATTCTGTCACTTGGACTCATGTTTACCGCCCTGCTCCTTATTGAAATGATCTTTCATTATATATCTAAAACAACTCATTAAGCCGGAGGTCATATTCCCAGCTCAAGGGCTAGTTTGTCTATTTCTAAGAACACTTTCTGTATATCAGAGCATCCACATGAGTTGCTTTCATTTGTCAAACTCTCTGAATTATAAAGGTGTCCATTTTCATCCTCCATAGTAGCTCTGCATATTAGTTGATGATTTCTATTTCTGGTATATTCTGGATCATTGAGATTTCAAATATTCTGTCTCATTGTTCTATTGTATACTTCTATTTTGGGTTTGGTAAATATGGTTCCTCAACATGGAAAGATAACTGATTTGGGGGCAGTGATTATTTTTTCAAGTTCTGACTTTTGTATGATGTCTATGCTGATATCATAAAATAGTCATTGAAATATTACTTGACATCTGGCTTAATGCTACTGTTCCGTAATATGGTACAAATAAGTCTTTGGCATTTGAGAAAGCTGAGTGAACATTTTGAGTATCTGTTTTCTAATTTGTAAATTGGGGGGAGAAATACCTGCTTTGCTTGCAGTATAGACATATTGAAAAGGAAATTAGATAATGTATGAAACACAGTTACTTGGTCCATGAGAGGACTCAATAAAAGATTGATGAATCTGATTATGATTTTGCAGTGTTCCTATGAACTTTCAAGCAGTGTATATTATGAAGTAAAATGATTAAACTCTGTTAGGTATTGAGTGTTGTTGTTTTACATGATCCCTCTCTTTCAAAGGCCTGTTTGTCAGGAGATCAAATTAGGTTTTTTCTCTGTTTCAAAGGCCTTTTTGTCAGGAGATCAAATTAGTTTTTTTCTCCTTCCTTGTCCTTTGTTTTCTAGACCTTTTGTACTTATATATAGAAAAATCTTGATTGATTTATATCTATTGTTCCATTCATCAACAAATGACAATTCAAGCCAGCAAACAAAAGGAAAAGAAAATATCAAAGAAATGAACAATAGACCCAATTTTAATTTTACTGCAAAATCTCCCAAAGGGAGGTAGCAACAAAAATGCCACTTTGGGCATCAGCAATGTGCATTTTTCTGATTCCTTCTTCTATCATGATCTTCCCTGGTTCATTTTAATCCTGATGGAATTCTCTATAATGGTCACTAAATTTCAAAGTACTGCACAATTAAGGATTAGTTAACTATTAGACCATATAACGCCACTCTGATTTATGCAAGCTTCATTAAAATCTTTTTCAGCTAAGATCTGAGGGGAATATGAAATGCATCAAATTTAAGAATCTAAATCAGTTTAATGAGATCTTTTCCTTTCTTGACTTCCAGTCATGTGCTTGTGTGGTGCTAGATGCTTCAGAGAATGCAAAGAACTATAAATGGTTGTTAATGATGACAAAAGGAGGGAATTTGGTATTTAGACAAGAGAAAGGAGTTTAAATGTATGGCAAGAAAGGGGAAAGGTATTTTTTACATTAGCATGGTGGTAGAATGTGAAAGTTTTTGAGTCAGACTGAACTGGGAAGTTATGCAATCTATTTTAACCATGTATTAGTTTTCTCTTGATGGGTAGCAAATTACCACAAGCTTAGCAGCTTAAAGCAATATCTATTTATTAAATCTCAGTTCTGTAGATGAGCTGGGACTTCCCTGGTGGTGTAGTGGTTAAGAATCTGCCTGCCAATGCAGGGGGCATGGGTTCGAGCCCTGGTCCAGGAAGATCCCACATGCCACGGAGCAACTAAGCCCATGCGCCACAACTTCTGAGCGTGCTCTCTAGAGCCCATGAGACACAACTACTGAGCCTGCATGCCACAACTACTGAAGCCCGCGTGCCTACAGCCCGTGCTAAGCAAGAGGAGAAGGCACCGCAATGAGGAGCCCACGCACCCTAACCCCACTCGCCGCAACTAGAGAGGGCCTGCGCACAGCAACGAAGACCCAATGCAGCCAGAAATAAATAAATTAATTAGAAAAAGAAAAAAAAAGAGTCAGTTCAACTGGACTCTGCTTGGAGTCTTGAAAAGCCAAAAACAGGATATTGAATGACTAAGCTCTTATCTGGAGGCTGTGGGGAAAAACCCACTTCCAAGCTCATTCAGGGTATTGACAGAAGTCAGATCCTCGTGGTTGTAGGACTGAAGCCTCTTTTTCCTGAGGTCACTGGCTGTCAACTGAAGGTTCCTCTTTTTTCCTAAAGACCATTCACATTCCTTCTCACAAACCGGCCATGGCACATCCAGTCCTCTCCTGTTTCAAATCTCTCTGACTTCCCTTTATGCCTTCTTCTTCTACCACAACCAAAGCAAATCCCATGATTTTAGGGCTCATATGATTAGGTCAGGCCTGCCTGAAAATTCCTCTATCTTTATGTCAACTGATGAATAATCTTAATTACATCTGTAAAATCTCTTCACAGCAGTATCTCATTTTTGGTTTGATTGGGTAATCAGAAAAATAGATTCTTGGTGGTGGGCATCATTGGAATTTTGCCTACCACAAGCTATGAAATGGGGTTAATAGAAGAATGTAACTCAGAGGATTCTTACAATGATTAAATTACATTACATAGGTAAAGAACTTATTATTAAGACTTAGTAAATTTAAGAAAATTTGGCCATTATCAGCATTATTATTGTCATTGTTATTATCACCATTACATTATGATTATTACTAAATTCATATTTGAAAGTTTGGAGAAATCCTAAATAGGCCTTCAAAGTATATTGCTATTTTATGCTATGGTTTGATTACTCTAGCAGGGAGTTATTACAGATAGAACCAAAGCTACACCATCCTATATGTATACTGAGGATATATACATATACATATATATTTATGTTATATTATATTATATGCCAGTTTGTACCCTATCTTTTCAGTTTTTTTAAGTTTTCTGATGAACGGAATACTTTTCATTTTTTTAAGTGAAACATACATTAAAATAAAATGATGAAGAATTATATAACATGCAAATAATAATCAAAAGAAAGCTAGAATGGCTATATAAATTTGAAAAAGAGACTCCTGAAGCAGTATTATTACCACAATAAGGAAGGACTTTCATAATAATAATAACCAAATGATAAATGGGTAAATAAGCAAAAAATGAAAAATAATCCTAAACATATATGAACCTAAAAGCAGAGCTTCCTTAAACATGACGCATAGAACTGAGAAGAGCAAAGGACGAATGTCCAAAATTACATATGAGCACTGCTAACACTCATGTCTGCAACTGATAGAACATGTTGGTGGAAATCAGTAAAAAAAGAGAAAGCTGAGAAACAGAACCAACTAAATTGACCTAATGTGTATTTATAGAAAACTGGACCCAACAATAGCAGAATACTCCTTATTTAATTGCATGTGAGACATCCATCGAGAGAGACAATACTGAGGGCCATGAAACAAACTTGCAACAATTTAAAATATTTGAAATCATACAAAGTGTGCTCTCTGACCCTAATGGAATGAAACTAGAAATCAATAACAGAAAGAGAGCTGCAAAAAATCCTGAGTTTGCAAATTAAACAGTAAACTTAAAAAATAACATGAGTCAAAGAAGTCACATGGGAAATTAGAAAATATTTTTAACTGAACAAAAGTGAAAATCTAAGAAAGCAAAATTTGTTGAAAATAGCTAAAGCAGGTAAAACTTCAGTTCCAGCTCCAACAAGTAAAGTGCGTGGCAGTGACTGCTCCTGTCCCCCAGCCAGCAACATCTTAAAGAAACTGAAAATCAGAAACTTAGCTTGGACCCATCAGGGACTGAGGCTGCAGAGCAAATGACCACCATGAACTCTGGAAAGATAAGTGAGTTCAGATTCACAACTGAGATTTGCTTAATCAGAGCGGAAGCTAGTGGAGCTGAAACTTGTAGGAATTCTTAAATGGTAATTTCAGTGAACTCCTGGCTATAGAAAAAATCGATACACCTAGCCAGGCTTAACCAAGGGAAAAAAAAAGAGAAAATAAAAATTGCTAATATCAGAAGTTTGAAAAGGCATTCATCACCACCGATCCCATGGACGATAGAAGGATAGTGAAGGAATACTGTAAGTGCCTCTAATACCCATAACTTGAAAACTTAGATGAAATGGGCTAATTCTTTGAAAGATGCAAACTACCAAAACTCACACAAGGAGAAATAGCTAATATTAATAGTCCTATATTATTAAATAAATTGAATTGATAATGTCATTTTT